ATGTTTCAAGGGCAGGATTTACCTTCCGTCTTCCATTCAGAAGCCCAGTGACACCTACTGCTCTTCCTGTGTGAAAGCATGCCTGTGAAAGTTACCTGATCCACCAGGAAAGTTTCAGAAATCCCAGGGCTGCTGGGATTTTATGGTAAAGAAAGTCCAACACAGGGAGACAAATGTCAGTTTTCTGTGAATGGCATCCATGCCAAGAACTCCCTAACAATGAGGAGCTCGGGTAGTCTTGGAAACCATGGCTGCAACAGTAATGTCTCAACATTAGGTGCGCCTCTCCCCAACATTTTTCTCTTACTCCCTTTTTTCAACCTCCTTGTTTCAGGTTTAATTCTCTTTCTGAGTTCTATTTCTGAATATGTTTGCATGCTGCAGCTTGAATCTGTGCAGTGACAGCTGATGTCGTTCAAACAAATGAAGCACAGTTGTCTAGTGTGTTAGTCCCCACGTGCCGCCCTCTCCTCCAGGTGGAAGGATGCTCTGTGAATAGTTTGGCAACTTCACATTAGAAGATTATTGTCTAAAGTCATTTCTAAGCATCATGCACGCCTTCGGTGCTAATTAAGGGGAAAATCTTCTGTCCTTTTGGATGTAAAAGACTGAAAGCCCAGTTGACCAGCGGGGGTCCCAGCCTAGTGTCAGTGGTGACTAGGATGGACAAGCTGTGAGGGCCTGTGCTGCTGGGTGATCAGCTTCCAGTGGGCACTCAGGAGATGGGAAGGCTCTGAGCTGGATGAGGAGAGCTGCACTGGGCTTGACCATGTGGGAGCTGGAATGGAAATCTGAGGAAAGACATGCCAGGCCTGCCCTCCATGGGCCACCCATGGTGCCAGCCCTTGTTTGGTCCATGTGAGGTCCCTCGCTGCCAGGGCAGGAGTTGGCTTGGCACTCCAGCGCTGATGCCTAATGGAACCCCAGGGGGATCATGTGTCCTAAGTAGGAGGAGGAAGGAACTTGTTCAGATCAGCGTGGTCTGAGAAGCACAGAAGTTGGGGGACTCAGAACTCTGAGATGGGATTGAGAACAGGGGGAAGCCAGGAGGGTGGAGACCAAGCTCGTCCTGTTCTCAGAGGAGGATGGGGAAGGAAACAGATTCCAGATGAGAATAAGGAGCCACTCAAACAACTGCACCTGAATCCTGAAGCTGTGGGAAAGAGATGTTCTGCCCAGGAAGGCCCTTCCCCTCCCTAATGGGGTAAGGCTCAGTGGTCTCACTGTCTGCTTGGCCTCCAGGACCCATGTATCTTCCCTTTCTCTTCTTCCTAGAATACAGGTATAAGAAATGTACCCTGAGCCTCAGGATAAGAGATTTTCTCTTGATGATATCAGGACCATCAGAACGAGAACACGGGAGAGACTGGGGCAGGAACGTACGTGCTGGGTATGAGTTTCGCATGAGCTTTGAGCCTGCATCACTGGGGATGGGAGGCTGGAGCAGAAAAACAGCAGAATTGTGCCACTGGCTGCTTAGCTTAGAGTTGGTGCCTGTGGATGGAGGCGGACAAATAAACTAGAAACCAGCTTTCCTGTTGGGCTAAGAGACATTTATTCCATTGGGCTAAGAGACCTCTCCTAGTTCAGTTCTGGACTCAGCTCCAGGGTAGATGGTTAAATAAAGGGTCTATTTTGTCTCTTGTACTTAGCGGCATTTCATGGTTTTCTTTATCCAGTGTAGAAAACTTGAGACTTTGGTGTAGACTTCCTGGAGTTGTCCCGTCTTTACGTCCATAGGAGACAATGCCCTGGGCCACGTTCTTACACACAAGGGGCCCTCCAGAATCCCCCTGTGAACAGAGGGGAAGAACTGAGCTGGTTTCTCCTCCCAGGCCTATCCTCCCTCTTATCCCAAGCCTGCACTCAGAGAACGATGACTTATACATTCTGATTGTGAACTTCAGAGGGTAGGTTCCCTCCTGCGGCCCTGGGCTTCTGAGCTCTGGCTATGGGCATAGTTACTGTGTCACCTCACCCCTGGGCCAGCCTCTGTGCTCTCCCCAGGTCCTGTGATCCACCCCCTTTGAGGGTTGGACCATCATCTCCAGGCTCCCATGTAAGGACAGGGCTGAGGTGAATGCACCTGATGTCAGTGTGGGGCATGAGCCATTGAGAAGTCAAGTGCCCACTCTGAAGAGTCACCTGGTCATGACACACTCAGGAAGCAGTGTCTTAAGCCTGGGACTTTAGCTTGTGCAAACTCCTTCTTGTGAAGAGCAGATTCAACAGAGGTCCTAGCTGATTCCCAGTTCCACCTGCTCCTGATCTTTTCTCAGAGAATGGTCAACGCTGGTGGGTGAAGGAGTCCCTTGCTGTTTGTGTCACCAGGTCCCAGAGTCTCCCTTCCCCTCCACAGAGCCACGAGAGGCAGATAATCAGACTCACCTGAAAGAATGCATGATTTGTCTTTGGGTCTCCCACACACATCTCAGTGTTCTTGTCATAATTTGCAAAGCTGGACTCACAGACCTGGTCTGCCTGCACTTTGATCTTCACCTCTTGCAGTGTGTTTGAGGGTGTTCCCCTTGCGTCTGTGTCGCCCCAGCCAGCCACATAGCACAAACTCCCTGGCTTCACCTGGGCCTTGCCTGTGGGCAGCTTGAGGGTCTGGACAGCCTTAGTCCGCTGGGCTTTGCTCTTCAGCTGATGGAGAAGAAGCACAAGAGTCCAGCTCAGCCAGTGGCCTTCTGGGCTGGGACACCATGAAGGGCAGGATGGAAGGAAGGGAGGGAAGGGGCGGGTCAGAGTAGGAGGGACAAGCCTGCAGTGGCAGACCAAGGCAGCTGGGAGCCCTCACCTTCAGCAGCATGATGTCATTGAGTATCTTCTCAGGATTATAATCTGGATGGGGAATGGCTTTTGCCACAGGGATGACCTGCTGGGTCTTCTCCTGTTCCTTGATGTTGTGGGCCCCCAGGATGACATTCATTGAGCTGCACAGAGAGTGGGGAAGAGGGATGCAGAGACAGAGAGGATACAGCCCAGGAGGTGAGAAGGTCTAGTCGGGGTGGGCAGGGTGGGGCTCTAGCAGAGGGAATTCTAGAAGACAGGAATGATTGTGCCTCTGCTACTTATCTGTGAGCTGATGGAATTCTCAAGCCCCAGTGTCTGCACCAGGTTTTATCAGAGTTCAATTAACCCAAGGAAGCACATGAAATAGTTTCAGGTTGTATTGCAATGTCATCCTTGGCCTAAACATGACATGCTTGATTACTTAGCAAAGACCCTGGGGCAGCCTGTCTCTTTCCATGAGACGTGGCTGGCACATGTCTCTTCCTTGAAGGAATCCACATGCATTTCTAGCACCCCAGGGAGCACCTAGGGAAGAAGACAGGGGTCTCTGTGGAATGTTCCAGGAGTGTATGGACTGTTCCTTGCTTCTCACCTCCCCAAACAGTGAGCAGCTGTCAGCACAAAGTCCTCCCTTATCAGGAAGCCCCCACACTGCTTCCACAAATTCTTATCGAGGATCTTGACAAAGGCCATGTAGGGGCGGGAGTGGGGCTTGGCCTCATATCCTCCGATGATCTCCCCTGTAGAGAAACCCAGCCTTCTTGTCGGCACCTGCCAATCTAGCAGGTGGGCTTCATGTGATGACTCCAGACCTGCTGGGCTTTTGGGAGCCTGGAATGGCCTGGAGCTGGGAGGGGCTGAGAGAGCACAGTCACATTCCCCTTCTACAAAAGGGGAGAAAGGCAGTACTTGGTCCGCAAATCTTTACTCAGCTGTTGGTGAGCGTTCCAATCTCTGGACAATGAAATCCCAGGAGCTTCTCAGGCCCTTCTGACTTCTCTTCCTGAGTTTCTTACAGCAGCTGAGCCAGGGCTGCTTTCTAGTGGTCAGGACTGATCTCAGTTTACATTTTGTGGCGTCCTATTTCCCAAGGCCTGATGAAGTGGGTGCTCAGTACATTCACTGGCTGCATGACGAACACCCTCCTGACTAGGGAGGTTTCTGGGATTCTAGAAAGCAGAGAAGTCAGGCCCTGGCACAGGGGCTCCTGCTTGAAACCAGGGAACCACTGAGGCCTGGGGAACACAGAGTTGCAGAGAGGGACCGAGTGGTGTGGGATTCAGCTCTGAGGACAGTGATCCCATCAATTCTGAGGTCACTGAGCTCCACTCAGGTATACCACGAATACCGAAAACCTGACTTATCACAGACAGAGGCGAGGCCCACCCTGCCTGCTCCAGGAGAATCTAATGTTTTCTGCTTTGCAGATTTCATCCTTTACCACGTTCTTCTAGAAAAGCTCTGCTTTCCAGATGACAAGGGTGGCCCTAGGCGGAGGACAGCTCCCAAGATCTCTTCTCCAGAACACCCTTCTGCCCTTCACCCCCTACCGATAACATATTGTGTCATACCTGGGTTCTGTGGAAAGACTAGACCTGATGTTCAGAGACTATGTGCAGAAGAGATTGGGTATCTGTGCCTGCTTTGGAATAATACTGGGCCACTAAGAGATTGATGTCCACTTACCTGCCCTCATCCTGGGGGGTAGAAAGAAAGCCAACAGGATCAGGAGTCGCTGCATCTTCCCTGGGAGGGTGACCAGGTCTGAGTTTCTGGAGCTCTGTCCCTGCTGCCTTTTATCCTCCAGAAGAGTAAGGAGGTGTGTTGGGCCAACAACCCTTTGCTTCCTGCTTTTATGCACTTCATGACTGACTGCTTTCTATGAAAGCTCCCCACCCTCAGTGCTTCTGACTGACGTTTTCTGAGTGGTTGTGTGAGAATCATGCAGTGACCACAGCGAACCCACAGCTGATGATTCCCAGATAACCACCGGTCACAGCAGGAACACAGGGCTGCAGGGTGGGATTTGTAGGGTCTGGCATGGGCTGGTAGAGGTGTCAGAGTGTCAGAAATCCATGGTGCCAGTGGTAGAACCACAGTGTCTTCAGGGACACTCTCTTGAGCCATCAGCACAGTTCCTGTCACAGACGTGCATTTAACCCCAACTTCTGCGCCAGGACCCAGCATGTTGGAGATGTAACTTCTTCCTTTAAGAGTTGACCATCTGGTGGGGCAGCAGGAATACAGGTGACCACAGTCCATTTGCGGAGGGATTTGGTAGAGCTACAGACAAGGTAGTAATAGACATGTCCTCACCTACCAAACACACCTGGAAACCTATTCATCATCATAGCTTTCTTCCAAGAGGGTATCAAACCTCTTTTATTCAATTACAAGTGCTCCAAGTGCTAAAGCCCTCTATGTTTTCATTTGTTTGTTTAAGACTGGCTCTCCCTACATAGCCTTACCTTGCTTGCCTGGCACTTGGTAGGTAGACCAGGCTGGCTTTGAACTCAGAGAGATCTTCCTGCCTCTGCCTCCCTAATAGTGGAATTTAAGGCATCAGCCACTAAACCCAGGTTTTTTTTTTTTTTTTGTTGTTGTTGTTGTCTTTTTTTGAGACAGGGTCTCCTTGTAGCCCCAGCTGTCCTGGAACTCAATGTAGACCAGGCTGGCCTCAAACTCATAAAGATCTGCCTGGGTCTGCCTCCCAAGTGCTGGGATTAAAGGCGTGTGCCACCACGCCCGACTAAACCCAGGTATTTTTAATGTTCTCAATGAGTGTCTTACATTTCACATTTATTGACACCAGCCAACATTTAGCTGCAGGCCCTAGGAGTTGAATCTACTATTGAGTAAAGCCTGGGTCAACCTACTTCTTTAGGAAGATTTGAGGCTAGTCCTACTCAAAATTTGGGACTTAAGGATGAAAAAGCTTCCCCCAAGGACAGTCAGGCCACTAAATTGCTGATGCAATATAACATAAGAAAGCAAGCCAGACTGCTAAAACTTTTAGTATTGTGTGTGGTGTATGTGTGTCTCTGTGTGTGTGTACACATGTGGGCATGGGTGTGCATGTGGAGGCAGAATTCAACCTTGGGCGCCACCACCTTGCATTTTGAGGCAGAGTCTCACTTTCTGTAAAACTCCCTGTGTAGGCTAAGCTGGCTGGTCAGTGAGCCTCAGGGATCAGTGTCTTTATCTTTTCAGTGCTGGGATTATAAGTGTGTCATCATGCCCAGTTTTTTTTTTTAACATGGGTTCTGGGGATGGAACTCAGGTTCTCATACACAGACCACAAGGTGGACACCCCTGATCTAGTCAATACAGTTTGAGAGATCTCCATTATTTAACACTGCTTGTAATGAGCTGGGGACTGTCTTAGTCCCCTCAAGAAGAGTTGCATTTGGGGACACAAACCTAATTCTATAGGCCTTTATATATATATATATATAATATATATATAATAATTGGGTGGGGAGCAATAAGGGGAGGTGCAGTTAGATGAGGGGATCTAAATACCATCAAATTATGTTGTATGACAATTACAAAAATTCAATAAAAGTATAAAAATGCATTTATATTTCTCTTGTGTGCATTCATATTCAT